CAGAGTTAGATACACGACCAGCTATGGAAAGGGAAGGCAAAGGAAGCCCCGATTTAGTATACATAAACTTCCGATGCAAACCGGAATCATATTGTTTGAATTCGAATAGTTCCACCTGAAACGAGTTAGATAACCGGCAAGACTCTATTGCTAACAGGAAAAGTATGATGTACAGGGGCAAGACACTACTAATTTGAGGTGAAGAGCGTATTTTTTAAATTAAATAATATAAAATTATAATTGAAAATTGCAGCCCGACATTGTGAAAATATCAATATTTGCTCGTTAGCATTTACAATATAGTTTTTATAAAACTTATCTTTTCCCTCAAAATTATATTTTTTTATTTTTTAAAAAAACGCTTAGTTTTTTAAATATTATAACAGATAGAGCCACACGCAGTTTAAAATGTTGTTGCTGGGAAAGTTAAGCAACTCGATGCTGGATTTTTAAATATTGTTTCCAACTTTTCCATTTCAAAGTAGATAACGCATGAATAAGAAGTGTTTTAGGCATTAAAAAATGTATACGTGAAAGGTCTTATTGAAATGTAAAAGAAAATATTTACAACCGAGAAACGTATAAACGGGGTTCAACTATTTCTTTCTTTGTTTTCTCTCTCGATTTTTTGATAGAGGTAAATTGCACTTGAAGCCTTACCTTTGATAAATTAAATAAAAATAAAAACACTGACCATTTCAATATTATGTAAATTCTATGCATTACACAAATGACAATTTTTGCCTGCATATTTTCACCATTTAATCAAATTAAGCCACTTAGAATTTGGAATATCAATTCCTCAATGTGTCGAAAATTTTTACTCTCTATACTTCTCCTCTTTATGAGGGCCCAGTAGCACTACAATTTTAACTCCCTTGGTACTTTCTAATTTTTAATGTTAATGTAATTACACATAAAAAATACTTAAAACTGAAAAAAAACGAAAGAAATGCGTTAATTTTGAAGCAAAAGCTTCAAACTTTATTTTCCATTGTCTTGCCTTTCAGGGAAATTTGACACGGATGAGTCAGTGTGTTTACAGCTGGATGACCTTGAGAACAGCTGGTGTTGGATTTCCCGGGACATTCTCATAGAAGTCTCGGGAAGCGAAGGGTTTATAGTAAGGGGAATACTAGCTGGCCATATATTTTTTAATATTTTTAAAAAATTACGTTTTTTATTGCGATTTCCGACCTTCCAACTTAATTAAACGTATATATAATAAAATTAGTGATACTTTTCTTTCGTCAATGAATTCTGTTTATATAACTTAGTATTATTTCGATTCCTTGAGGTCATTTTCTCGCACGGCTTATCATCATCTTGTAACATTTTTAACATAATTTTATTGATATCAGTCTGTTGAGAGTATAATCTCTTAATAAGCATGAGCGCCCGTACTTTAGGGCAGGTGCCTTCTTGTTCATCTAGGCTGCTCTTTTCTTAATCTCCGAGGAAACCCCAAGTCCCATGTCAATTTATACCGTATTCTGTAAAAGGAACTAATAAACAATATTTCTCTATTGTTTCGCACAATTTCGACGTATGGTGACCAAAACTGAGGCCAAATTAACCCCAATTGAAACCAGTGCCAATTTGTGATGAAATTAATTTCATATTCCCGCAACGAGCTGCGTAACTTTCCCGGCTGTTGTCAGATTTTATTATAAAATATCGTTTTTATATTGTTATTAACTTAAATTTCAAATTTAAAAATTTTCAAAAACTAAAAATGTTGATTTCGGTTTTTCTCCTTTATCAAGGATGTGGAGTCGGAGTAGGAGTCAAAAAATCCGCCGACTCCGACTCCTTTTTACTTACCAACTTGTTATGTATATAAAATAGAAAAGTATTGGAATAGTGTCAAATTTGACCCTCCAAGTTTTTTTTGCAAATCCCTCAAAAAAGTCAGTAAAGGGAAAAAATTCGTAAGCGTGTGTGTGTTAGCATCTAATTTGTTTAATTTCTTTATTTTCTGTTCTGAGATATTAAACAATATCTCAGAATGGGTAAAGTTTAAGAAACGAAATGTGGCACTGTAGCTTGCGTATAAAGGGGCATTAATAATATTAAATTTTGGTTCTTAATTAAAGGTCGACAGGGTCAAGACAAAAGTGGTCATGTGTCGTATCTCTCAATGAATATTTTACTCGTTATTAGCATTCAAAATTAAAAAACAAATAAAATAAAACTCGTTTCTACCCTCAAAGTAAGCTTTTTAGCCATTTTATAATAGTACAGTAAAACCCATTAAGATGTTCTCGCCTATGATGATAGAATGTATATGGGGACACGATTTAATTCAACCACTTTGACGATTAATAACTAACTCCTGTGTTAAACCATTTAACTCCGATTCTGACCACTCTGACCACAGAAATTATTAGGCTTCAAACAGGGTGAACGGAATCATGCCCCCACACAGTCTAACATCCATACATATAGAAAAAATCTCGAATCTTTTGCATATCTCGAAATTTCAAGGTGTCCTGAGTTCAAAAATGTAAAAATTTGGAAGGGGTCATTTTTTGAGCGAGCGCTACACTTTTCTTCTGTTATATATAACAGCCGGAAAAGTAAAAATTATCGAATACATATTTATATATTACTTAGAGAAGTCTTTTAGCTTTGAAATAAAAAGTTTTTACGCCCTATCTTTATTAGAACTCTATTTATTGAATCTTTTATTCTGAGGTCACGTGATAACATCAGAATTTCCGGGTTTCTTTCGGTAACAAATCCGCCCCTGGTCGGAGTCGGAGTCGGTAGATTTTTACGCGACTCCACAGCCCTGCCCTTTATCTGCTTCATATCAGAGACAATGAACTTACACCAAAAATACTCAGAAAAAATCAAACTAATATATTTTTCTATATTAAGCAATGGTGACTTTTTATAGAATGCTTCACCACTCTTCACGCTAAAAAGACTAAAAAGTATACAATTGAAAGCTTACGATTAATAAAAATTCAACAATAATATAAACTTACAACTAAATTATTTCTTAGACGTGAAAAGAATAAAACAAATTACAAGTGTTCCATTCGTACACCATAAATTAACCATTAATAGTATTATTTGCATGTATAATTACTAAATATTGTGTAAATCCCCGTAAAGACACTTCTTTCCCATGTTATGAGAAATTTAAAAGTTATTTTTATCAATAACAAATTATAAACCATAAAGACTGCCTAAAGTTTAGTCTAATTGCTGCTTGGTGTTCTCGAATTCTAATAGGCAGCTGTCTCATTGTTTCACGTATAAAATTAATGAGATTTACACGTGCAATTTAGTTTAATTAATTAAACATTTTGTTTAACCGTCGGTAAACAATCATACGTAAAATCACGAACAAAATACGGGGAGAATTTTCTACTGTAAATAAGGTTTTCAAGGCTTTTTGCGAAACAAGTAACATCTACAACAGAATTTAGTAATAGTAATTAGTTTCGGATCTGTTGATACAATTAATGACAATAGTGGATTGCCATGAGTAAACAAGATTACTTCTCTTATATTTCCGAACACGCTGATTCTAACAGCGTTAAACAAATACAGTGAGCCTCGTACTTAGAATTTAATTAATTCCAGATAACCAGATAACCATTCGAACCATCACCAAGCGAATCCATTTTTTTATTAAAACCAACGGAAAGCGAATTAATTTATTTCCAGACTCTAAACGATACCCATTTCGATTAACTTAAAACGGCAGATATACGTATGTTTAAGGTAGAATAACACAATTAAATGCCCTAAGAATAGAAGGAAATACGAAGACAATAAGCCAAGTACATAAATATCGTATAATAAAATGATTATTATAACTACCTGTCGCACATATTCCATTTCGGCATCCTAAACATGGCTGCCAGATCAGCCTCACGTGTACTGCGGATAAATTCTTTTTTCATCTCGATCGTCCACACGACAACTTTGCTCTTAGACGTTGTTATTTCCACACACACATCTCGGATGGCATGGTTTTAAGATTAAGGTTATATTGAGCCGAATATATAAGTTTGCATGGTTTTAGTAGAAGTCGCTACGTAACGTAAAAGCTTAATTTAGTTAACATTCGTCATATCATTACTAATATGAAATCGTATTGTTTGATAGGTTATTTTAAACTTGGAGATATAGAACGTAAGGGGCGCCCAAAAGCTGTAGAGGAAGAATAGTTGCGCACCAAGAATAGAGCGAACAACGCACTAAAAACATACAAGAATGAGAAAGTACTCGGGTAGACAAAATGTGTTTACGCTACCAGCGGATTTTTTTTGTTGAGCGTGCAGATGGAACTCCGAGTGAAGTTTTGTCAAATTCACAGTTCGAAATACGAGGTATTGTATTCGTATTCGTGATCGATAGAAATGATTATACGGCGCTAAGTAAATCACACAGGTACATTTTTTATGTTAATTAAAGTTCCATTTATTTAAAAATAATTCGACAAAATATTTTTTGTTTTGCCCACAAAATCAAAACGTTTATAAAAAATGTAAACATTACAAACCAAGAAAAACACAACTTTAATTTCTTCTTTTTGTGTTCAGTAAATTCTAAATAGGAGTATTAAAATGATTTTTTAAACAAATGCGATGAATCAACCATTTCGACCCATTTTTGTTTTTTGGCATTTTGCTTCATAAAAGTCATCATTATTTAAAATTCTTATTCTTGTGACGTATAAATACATGACGAGTCAAAGTCGATCTAGAATAGAATTTTTCTGAGCAATAATTACACGAGAATGGCTTTTCTCCGGTGTGAAGACGAGTATGATTTATCATATGTTGTTTTTGTTTAAAAGTTCGTTTGCAATGTTCACAAAAGAAAGGCCTCTCCCCTGTGTGAGTTCGGAGATGTGCAATCAGATTTGATTTTTGGGTAAAGCGTTGTTTGCAATGATCACAGGCAAAGAGTTTCTCTCTGGTGTGAGTCTTGACGTGGTCAAGTAGATGACACGATTGGGTAAACTGACGATTGCAGTATTGGCAAGACAAGAGCCCTTCTCCAGTATGAATTCTTCGATGAAATTTTAACCCCCTTTCCGAAACGAACTTTTTCTCGCAACTATCACATTCGTACTTTCCATTCCTTGACTTCTGAATGTTTAAGCCTGTGATATAAAATTAAAACATTAAAACCAATTTCTAGACAGATTAAAACTGTACAAATTATCATCAAACCGTAAATAGATAAATTTAAAAAGACTATTTTGAATGTATTGTTAAAGCTTTGGATGCAGATAGAGACAGAATTTTTCCTTTTTCCAATTTCTTTAAGTAATATTTAAAGGATAAACCTACACGAAGGATACCACGATATCAAAAACACTAACAATTCACACGTATTATCAACGCGCATTAACAATATTACAAAGTCATTTATACATTTTTCTTCTGAAAACAATATAAACGGAGTGTATTTGCGAAAAAGAAAACCATTATATATAAAATTTTAAATCATCGTCGATTTTTGTCTTTTTCTTCACTTGCACGAAAGACGTTTTTTTTTGTTGATATATTCTTGTATTATTTCATAACACTAGCTTCAATTTTAGTGTTCCGTTAACAACAGAAGTTAAACGTATCGTTCAACTCTTGTTTTCCCGGAAAGAATTCTTTATTTAGTACACATAAATGCTCTTGAATGGTGAGTAATGAATCTGTAACAAAAAGACACGAATGATATCGAATACGAAAATTACGTCATATATTATTTTCTAAGTCAAATTTAATTATTTCAACATTAAACTAATAATTTTAAAAATTCTTCCTTGGATATTTCTCGCAATAGAATTACAGCTGGGTTTAAACCTGAAAATGAAACGAATGGAAATAAATATTTTAATCCAAAAATAGTAGATTTATGTTTGAAATAAATTTATAGTAGATTTACCTACGATTTTTAAAACAAGAAAATCAGGTATAAATGTATTTTACGAATAAGAAACTACGTCTCGGTTCTTCTTCTTTTCCTCACGGTTTATATGGAGATATTAGCCGTGTAGGCTCTTTCTCCGAATCGACTTACCTTTCGGTTTTCACATTTTACAGCTTTTATTGCAGAAATAAAAGTTATAAAAAACTCAACCGTTTTTTGAAAGTTGCTTTAAAATAAACATATTAGGAAGAAACTAGAAATCTACTTACAAATTTAATATATTTCAGTCAAGAAAGACAAGTAAAATACTACAATACTTGTTACCACAATCCACAGACAATAAGGATATTCGATACATCACCAAATGTTACCCGAAAAATGTATTATTATCCTCTTCTGCTTTGTAAAAATTCTTCCTGTTTTCTTTCTAGTGAGATCCTCAACGAGGTTATTTCCTTACATCAAGACTGAAAATCATGTTACTGATCCGAAGACGGAGCTAAAACGAACAGCAAGAAGACACCCAAATAACACGCTTCCTTCGATTTCTTTCTGTAAGATTTATTAGCTCATCAGAAAACAATTTTCAATTTATTCAGTAAAATAAAAACAGCATTTTTCTAATGCAAAGCTGCACTCGTCCGACTTCGACGCGATCTAACTGTCAATTTCGAAAAGAGTAGCACCATCTAATATTTAAAATTCAAAATTTTCTAATTTCTTTATTTTTTAAAAATTTGTGGGTCTAAAGTTCTAAAAATAATCTTTCATTGAAATAATGTTAAAAATGAATTCTGTCAAAACTATTACAAATTGTAGAATTCCATATAATTTAATTTATAAATTACACGGATTGGATATAGCTAACGTAATAACCATATGCTTAACGTCCTATATATAAAATGTTTTATAACTTATATAAAATAATAATAAATTTTATTATAAACCTTGTCAATATAGCCTACTTTTTCTCATTCAATAGTAAATATATGTAAATATATTACAACGACTTTCGTAAGTGTGTGCTTAAACTTAATCATAAAACGTTAACATAATAATAGCATTAATACACGTTTCATAAAAATTAGCAAAAATTATATTTAATAAATTTCGTTGTATTTAAGTTAATTCCGCCGTGAGAACTTCAATTAACCTCTTACAAGTTTCGAATCAGAAATATTTAAAACAGACGATCGACTCGACGGCGCCAAATGGTCGCCATTTTGTCCACTTCGTCGGCCTACCACAATTACCTTTTATCTTATTACTTACGAGATATTTTACGATATCGTAACTTACCATTGGAAGGTTTGGTCAATTCGGAATCAGTTGACATTCCAGTTAATGAATTCGCCCAAGAAATTTCCATAAAACTTAAAACTTTTTGATCCTTCCCACTTACTGTAAACATACCGTTTCATAATCTCGAAGACTATCGCGTCGACAATGAAGAGTTCGTCTGGATCGAAAAATAAATTTAACATAAATTCGAATAACCGAAAATTTCGTAAAATTTAAAAATATTAATTCATTTCAAAAAGTTTATAACATTAATATGCACTCAGTCCGAGCAGATTTTATATATTGGGTTTTTCTTAATTTCCATTAATAAAATTTGTTTATTCGGTTAATTTGTAATTACTCAATGCAACGTAAATATATATATAATTTACCTGGAAAATAAAAAGAATTTCACCAAAATATTTTCCATTTTTCAATTTGTATGGATAAAATATTTTGTGATATTGGAATATAGACTGAATTCCGACGTCTTGTTGTCGAGATTAATTATTATACATTTAAATTAAGTAATTCCGAAAAACATTCGCTTTGGTCCCCGTTGTTGCTCATAGCGGTGGTGACCAGACCCTAAACACAGGAAAGTTTGTCGTGGGTTCGGGCCACGATCGGACAGGCTGGCTGCTTGAAGTTTTTTCCTTGCCATTAATGACTGAATAGGAGGCCAGTTCCCCATAAAAGTTTTCCCGGAAGGCGTTATTTCCCGCGTGCGCGTATAGGCCGTTCGGATACGGCTGGCTCGTCCGTCGCATAGCGATCATAAACACATGTCTAGTCGGAGAAAAAGAGCCTACAAAATCTTTATATAAAACAACATCTGAGAAGAAGGAAAGTAACACATTCGCTTCTTACTCTGTGGGCTGAGCTTAACTCTTACTCTGGATATCCGTAGAGGACGATGGATTTAATCGTAGCATTTATGATTTAGCTAACGAGATCACGTTTGTTTTTAACCCGGGAAATCCCGCAAATTCTTAAAAAGCGATTTTTTTTTAACATTTTGCGTTTAGGTTGAGGAAATTTTGCAAATAGAAAGTATAATTAACTCATAAACTGTCAGAATGTATTTTTATTTATTAATTTTAACGGATGACGCCACACACGCAGTTTTAAATGTTGCCGGGAAAGTTATTTAACTCGTTGCTGGTTTATTTAAATTATTTTTACATTAGAAATTTATATATATCTTACTTAATTNATTTTTAAAAAATTACGTTTTTTATTGCGATTTCCGACCTTCCAACTTAATTAAACGTATATATAATAAAATTAGTGATACTTTTCTTTCGTCAATGAATTCTGTTTATATAACTTAGTATTATTTCGATTCCTTGAGGTCATTTTCTCGCACGGCTTATCATCATCTTGTAACATTTTTAACATAATTTTATTGATATCAGTCTGTTGAGAGTATAATCTCTTAATAAGCATGAGCGCCCGTACTTTAGGGCAGGTGCCTTCTTGTTCATCTAGGCTGCTCTTTTCTTAATCTCCGAGGAAAACCCAAGTCCCATGTCAATTTATACCGTATTCTGTAAAAGGAACTAATAAACAATATTTCTCTATTGTTTCGCACAATTTCGACGTATGGTGACCAAAACTGAGGCCAAATTAACCCCAATTGAAACCAGTGCCAATTTGTGATGAAATTAATTTCATATTCCCGCAACGAGCTGCGTAACTTTCCCGGCTGTTGTCAGATTTTATTATAAAATATCGTTTTTATATTGTTATTAACTTAAATTTCAAATTTAAAAATTTTCAAAAACTAAAAATGTTGATTTCGGTTTTTCTCCTTTATCAAGGATGTGGAGTCGGAGTCGGAGTCAAAAAATCCGCCGACTCCGACTCCTTTTTACTTACCAACTTGTTATGTATATAAAATAGAAAAGTATTGGAATAGTGTCAAATTTGNATGTGGAGTCGGAGTAGGAGTCAAAAAATCCGCCGACTCCGACTCCTTTTTACTTACCAACTTGTTATGTATATAAAATAGAAAAGTATTGGAATAGTGTCAAATTTGACCCTCCAAGTTTTTTTTGCAAATCCCTCAAAAAAGTCAGTAAAGGGAAAAAATTCGTAAGCGTGTGTGTGTTAGCATCTAATTTGTTTAATTTCTTTATTTTCTGTTCTGAGATATTAAACAATATCTCAGAATGGGTAAAGTTTAAGAAACGAAATGTGGCACTGTAGCTTGCGTATAAAGGGGCATTAATAATATTAAATTTTGGTTCTTAATTAAAGGTCGACAGGGTCAAGACAAAAGTGGTCATGTGTCGTATCTCTCAATGAATATTTTACTCGTTATTAGCATTCAAAATTAAAAAACAAATAAAATAAAACTCGTTTCTACCCTCAAAGTAAGCTTTTTAGCCATTTTATAATAGTACAGTAAAACCCATTAAGATGTTCTCGCCTATGATGATAGAATGTATATGGGGACACGATTTAATTCAACCACTTTGACGATTAATAACTAACTCCTGTGTTAAACCATTTAACTCCGATTCTGACCACTCTGACCACAGAAATTATTAGGCTTCAAACAGGGTGAACGGAATCATGCCCCCACACAGTCTAACATCCATACATATAGAAAAAATCTCGAATCTTTTGCATATCTCGAAATTTCAAGGTGTCCTGAGTTCAAAAATGTAAAAATTTGGAAGGGGTCATTTTTTGAGCGAGCGCTACACTTTTCTTCTGTTATATATAACAGCCGGAAAAGTAAAAATTATCGAATACATATTTATATATTACTTAGAGAAGTCTTTTAGCTTTGAAATGAAAAGTTTTTACGCCCTATCTTTATTAGAACTCTATTTATTGAATCTTTTATTCTGAGGTCACGTGATAACATCAGAATTTCCGGGTTTCTTTCGGTAACAAATCCGCCCCTGGTCGGAGTCGGAGTCGGTAGATTTTTACGCGACTCCACAGCTCTGCCCTTTATCTGCTTCATATCAGAGACAATGAACTTACACCAAAAATACTCAGAAAAAATCAAACTAATATATTTTTCTATATTAAGCAATGGTGACTTTTTATAGAATGCTTCACCACTCTTCACGCTAAAAAGACTAAAAAGTATACAATTGAAAGCTTACGATTAATAAAAATTCAACAATAATATAAACTTACAACTAAATTATTTCTTAGACGTGAAAAGAATAAAACAAATTACAAGTGTTCCATTCGTACACCATAAATTAACCATTAATAGTATTATTTGCATGTATAATTACTAAATATTGTGTAAATCCCCGTAAATACACTTCTTTCCCATGTTATGAGAAATTTAAAAGTTATTTTTATCAATAACAAATTATAAACCATAAAGACTGCCTAAAGTTTAGTCTAATTGCTGCTTGGTGTTCTCGAATTCTAATAGGCAGCTGTCTCATTGTTTCACGTATAAAATTAATGAGATTTACACGTGCAATTTAGTTTAATTAATTAAACATTTTGTTTAACCGTCGGTAAACAATCATTCGTAAAATGACGAACAAAATACGGGGAGAATTTTCTACTGTAAATAAGGTTTTCAAGGCTTTTTGCGAAACAAGTAACATCTACAACAGAATTTAGTAATTGTAATTAGTTTCGGATCTGTTGATACAATTAATGACAATAGTGGATTGCCATGAGTAAACAAGATTACTTCTCTTATATTTCCGAACACGCTGATTCTAACAGCGTTAAACAAATACAGTGAGCCTCGTACTTAGAATTTAATTAATTCCAGATAACCAGATAACCATTCGAACCATCACCAAGCGAATCCATTTTTTTATTAAAACCAACGGAAAGCGAATTAATTTATTTCCAGACTCTAAACGATACCCATTTCGATTAACTTAAAACGGCAGATATACGTATGTTTAAGGTAGAATAACACAATTAAATGCCCTAAGAATAGAAGGAAATACGAAGACAATAAGCCAAGTACATAAATATCGTATAATAAAATGATTATTATAACTACCTGTCGCACATATTCCATTTCGGCATCCTAAACATGGCTGCCAGATCAGCCTCACGTGTACTGCGGATAAATTCTTTTTTCATCTCGATCGTCCACACGACAACTTTGCTCTTAGACGTTGTTATTTCCACACACACATCTCGGATGGCATGGTTTTAAGATTAAGGTTATATTGAGCCGAATATATAAGTTTGCATGGTTTTAGTAGAAGTCGCTACGTAACGTAAAAGCTTAATTTAGTTAACATTCGTCATATCATTACTAATATGAAATCGTATTGTTTGATAGGTTATTTTAAACTTGGAGATATAGAACGTAAGGGGCGCCCAAAAGCTGTAGAGGAAGAATAGTTGCGCACCAAGAATAGAGCGAACAACGCACTAAAAACATACAAGAATGAGAAAGTACTCGGGTAGACAAAATGTGTTTACGCTACCAGCGGATTTTTTTTGTTGAGCGTGCAGATGGAACTCCGAGTGAAGTTTTGTCAAATTCACAGTTCGAAATACGAGGTATTGTATTCGTATTCGTGATCGATAGAAATGATTATACGGCGCTAAGTAAATCACACAGGTACATTTTTTATGTTAATTAAAGTTCCATTTATTTAAAAATAATTCGACAAAATATTTTTTGTTTTGCCCACAAAATCAAAACGTTTATAAAAAATGTAAACATTACAAACCAAGAAAAACACGACTTTAATTTCTTCTTTTTGTGTTCAGTAAATTCTAAATAGGAGTATTAAAATGATTTTTTAAACAAATGCGATGAATCAACCATTTCGACCCATTTTTGTTTTTTGGCATTTTGCTTCATAAAAGTCATCATTATTTAAAATTCTTATTCTTGTGACGTATAAATACATGACGAGTCAAAGTCGATCTAGAATAGAATTTTTCTGAGCAATAATTACACGAGAATGGCTTTTCTCCGGTGTGAAGACGAGTATGATTTATCATATGTTGTTTTTGTTTAAAAGTTCGTTTGCAATGTTCACAAAAGAAAGGCCTCTCCCCTGTGTGAGTTCGGAGATGTGCAATCAGATTTGATTTTTGGGTAAAGCGTTGTTTGCAATGATCACAGGCAAAGAGTTTCTCTCCGGTGTGAGTCTTGACGTGGTCAAGTAGATGACCCGATTGGGTAAACTGACGATTGCAGTATTGGCAAGACAAGAGCCCTTCTCCAGTATGAATTCTTCGATGAAATTTTAACCCCCTTTCCGAAACGAACTTTTTCTCGCAACTATCACATTCGTACTTTCCATTCCTTGACTTCTGAATGTTTAAGCCTGTGATATAAAATTAAAACATTAAAACCAATTTCTAGACAGATTAAAACTGTACAAATTATCATCAAACCGTAAATAGATAAATTTAAAAAGACTATTTTGAATGTATTGTTAAAGCTTTGGATGCAGATAGAGACAGAATTTTTCCTTTTTCCAATTTCTTTAAGTAATATTTAAAGGATAAACCTACACGAAGGATACCACGATATCAAAAACACTAACAATTCACACGTATTATCAACGCGCATTAACAATATTACAAAGTCATTTATACATTTTTCTTCTGAAAACAATATAAACGGAGTGTATTTGCGAAAAAACCATTATATATATAATTTTAAATCATCGTCGATTTTTGTCTTTTTCTTCACTTGCACGAAAGACGTTTTTTTTTGTTGATATATTCTTGTATTATTTCATAACACTAGCTTCAATTTTAGTGTTCCGTTAACAACAGAAGTTAAACGTATCGTTCAACTCTTGTTTTCCCGGAAAGAATTCTTTATTTAGTACACATAAATGCTCTTGAATGGTGAGTAATGAATCTGTAACAAAAAGACACGAATGATATCGAATACGAAAATTACGTCATATATTATTTTCTAAGTGAAATTTAATTATTTCAACATTAAACTAATAATTTTAAAAATTCTTCCTTGGATATTTCTCGCAATAGAATTACAGCTGGGTTTAAACCTGAAAATGAAACGAATGGAAATAAATATTTTAATCCAAAAATAGTAGATTTATGTTTGAAATAAATTTATAGTAGATTTACCTACGATTTTTAAAACAAGAAAATCAGGTATAAATGTATTTTACGAATAAGAAACTACGTCTCGGTTCTTCTTCTTTTCCTCACGGTTTATATGGAGATATTAGCCGTGTAGGCTCTTTCTCCGAATCGACTTACCTTTCGGTTTTCACATTTTACAGCTTTTATTGCAGAAATAAAAGTTATAAAAAACTCAACCGTTTTTTGAAAGTTGCTTTAAAATAAACATATTAGGAAGAAACTAGAAATCTACTTACAAATTTAATATATTTCAGTCAAGAAAGACAAGTAAAATACTACAATACTTGTTACCACAATCCACAGACAATAAGGATATTCGATACATCACCAAATGTTACCCGAAAAATGTATTATTATCCTCTTCTGCTTTGTAAAAATTCTTCCTGTTTTCTTTCTAGTGAGATCCTCAACGAGGTTATTTCCTTACATCAAGACTGAAAATCATGTTACTGATCCGAAGACGGAGCTAAAACGAACAGCAAGAAGACACCCAAATAACACGCTTCCTTCGATTTCTTTCTGTAAGATTTATTAGCTCATCAGAAAACAATTTTCAATTTATTCAGTAAAATAAAAACAGCATTTTTCTAATGCAAAGCTGCACTCGTCCGACTTCGACGCGATCTAACTGTCAATTTCGAAAAGAGTAGCACCATCTAATATTTAAAATTCAAAATTTTCTAATTTCTTTATTTTTTAAAAATTTGTGGGTCTAAAGTTCTAAAAATAATCTTTCATTGAAATAATGTTAAAAATGAATTCTGTCAAAACTATTACAAATTGTAGAATTCCATATAATTTAATTTATAAATTACACGGATTGGATATAGCTAACGTAATAACCATATGCTTAACGTCCTATATATAAAATGTTTTATAACTTATATAAAATAATAATAAATTTTATTATAAACCTTGTCAATATAGCCTACTTTTTCTCATTCAATAGTAAATATATGTAAATATATTACAACGACTTTCGTAAGTGTGTGCTTAAACTTAATCATAAAACGTTAACATAATAATAGCATTAATACACGTTTCATAAAAATTAGCAAAAATTATATTTAATAAATTTCGTTGTATTTAAGTTAATTCCGCCGTGAGAACTTCAATTAACCTCTTACAAGTTTCGAATCAGAAATATTTAAAACAGACGATCGACTCGACGGCGCCAAATGGTCGCCATTTTGTCCACTTCGTCGGCCTACCACAATTACCTTTTATCTTATTACTTACGAGATATTTTACGATATCGTAACTTACCATTGGAAGGTTTGGTCAATTCGGAATCAGTTGACATTCCAGTTAATGAATTCGCCCAAGAAATTTCCATAAAACTTAAAACTTTTTGATCCTTCCCACTTACTGTAAACATACCGTTTCATAATCTCGAAGACTATCGCGTCGACAATGAAGAGTTCGTCTGGATCGAAAAATAAATTTAACATAAATTCGAATAACCGAAAATTTCGTAAAATTTAAAAATATTAATTCATTTCAAAAAGTTTATAACATTAATATGCACTCAGTCCGAGCAGATTTTATATATTGGGTTTTTCTTAATTTCCATTAATAAAATTTGTTTATTCGGTTAATTTGTAATTACTCAATGCAACGTAAATATATATATAATTTACCTGGAAAATAAAAAGAATTTCACCAAAATATTTTCCATTTTTCAATTTGTATGGATAAAATATTTTGTGATATTGGAATATAGACTGAATTCCGACGTCTTGTTGTCGAGATTAATTATTATACATTTAAATTAAGTAATTCCGAAAAACATTCGCTTTGGTCCCCGTTGTTGCTCATAGCGGTGGTGACCAGACCCTAAACACAGGAAAGTTTGTCGTGGGTTCGGGCCACGATCGGACAGGCTGGCTGCTTGAAGTTTTTTCCTTGCCATTAATGACTGAATAGGAGGCCAGTTCCCCATAAAAGTTTTCCCGGAAGGCGTTATTTCCCGCGTGCGCGTATAGGCCGTTCGGATACGGCTGGCTCGTCCGTCGCATAGCGATCATAAACACATGTCTAGTCGGAGAAAAAGAGCCTACAAAATCTTTATATAAAACAACATCTGAGAAGAAGGAAAGTAACACATTCGCTTCTTACTCTGTGGGCTGAGCTTAACTCTTACTCTGGATATCCGTAGAGGACGATGGATTTAATCGTAGCATTTATGATTTAGCTAACGAGATCACGTTTGTTTTTAACCCGGGAAATCCCGCAAATTCTTAAAAAGCGATTTTTTTTTAACATTTTGCGTTTAGGTTGAGGAAATTTTGCAAATAGAAAGTATAATTAACTCATAAACTGTCAGAATGTATTTTTATTTATTAATTTTAACGGATGACGCCACACACGCAGTTTTAAATGTTGCCGGGAAAGTTATTTAACTCGTTGCTGGTTTATTTAAATTATTTTTACATTAGAAATTTATATATATCTTACTTAATTCAGATTAAATTAAGACAATACGAATATTTTCATAGTAAATACTAGTTTTATTTTCTCAATACCCGTTTCTTTCTTTTGCAGAATGGATAATTATAAATAATTAAAAAAATAACACACCTTAAAAGTTTAAATTGAGCTTTAAAAATAGCTGTCAAGCATAAGAAGTTTAGAGGAAAAGGGTTTACTTCTATAAAAAATAAATCATTTCTCTGCCATGATTATATCTATCTTTCATCTGTGTCATCACCATCCCAAGACTCGTCCTTCCACTTCCATTAAATTCAAGCTTATAGAACAACGATGGTGTGATGTCAATCGTCGGCAAAGCTTCGATAAAAAACAAAAACAGTGTTTTTCGATTTTAAGCACGTTTAAACAATAGCGTAACACACGCTATAGTTTAAACGTCTATAAATATAAACAAAGCTACTTATATTATACAGACATTTACACTGTGTTTGAATCAGTGTTCTACTGCTAACAAATTTTCACCACAAATAGCAAATGTATGTACTACAATCGGAAAATCATTTCAAAGTTAACCTTAAAGAAAAGACAAGAAGACACCCAAATA